CCCCCCCCCCACGCATAAGAGGCCATTAACGGCATTCTTTTTGTTGCTGTTCTGGAAACACCTGCGAACACGCCTAGCATTAGCACACCACGTCCTTTTGTTTCATGGTCAGAATTTCTTAAAAGGCTCAAATCATTTAGGAGCCATGCCTCACCGATGCTATGCTCTCCAACCTGGCTGCAAAAGGCCTCCGTGAGCCTTGAGCCTCAGGCCCGGTCCGTGTGAGACCATGTTAGAAGGTCTTCTCAAGAACTAAGTCACAGCAGATCCTGCTCTGGGCAGGCTGCCAGCGCTTTCTCAAGGTGCACATATAGGAAAGGACAGCTCTGTCCGGGCGATCGCTCCACCCAAGGGTCATGAGAAGAGTAAGCAGGAGAAACAATGGGGATCAATAAGCGCTCCCCAGAGAAGTCTGCTCCCTGTCATTCTAGAATGCAGAAAACCTTAGAGATCAGCCTGGTCCCACAAATCCAGAAGGCCAGTACATGGAGCTGCCTTTCTAGATCACTCACCACCCTCCTCACTGTCCTCCTTTCCCTCCCCTCCCCCAGGTCCTGACCCGTCCCTCAGGCTCAGAATTCAGCCTATGAATGGTACGCGGGATCCTGTCCTCACTGTTCCCTGATTGGCTACGGCGAAGATGAAGTTCAGATGCACGAGTCCCAAGGAAGATGTGGACAATAACGCCCTCCGTGGAAAGCAAGCAGAAGGAATCCCTGCCAGAAGCAGCAAGGGGAACCGGCTTCCCCCTCCTCTACAAGGCAGCAGCCTGACAAGCTTTTGGGGCTCAAACAGCACTTTTCTACTGAGATCAAAGCCAATCCTCACGTGGCTCAAATATGGCCCGTAAGGTCCTATAAGTTGGATCCCGTTATAGCAAATTCCAAGGCCAGGATGCTGTCACATCCTGCCTGGAAGAAGCAGAGCACTGATGGAGGGTGGGAACCCGTGTGGACAAGGTAGGCAGGACGCCACGATGGTCTCTGCACAAAGTCGTATTTCAAGCTCTTTCAAGACCAGTTTCACAAAGTCACACCTGTCCTGACTCCAGAGGCATCCCTTCCCACCCCAAACGCCAGGAAAATGAGGCAGGAAGGGGAAGGTGGAATTGGGTGCATCTCGTTCCTTGGTGAGTTCACGTCCTTAATCCAACAATGTCCAGCCAAGCCAGCCAAGCCCAGCTCAGAGCAGGGGATACACGGGAAACCAGAACGTTTCCTTCCAGCCCGACTGCATCCCCCCTCCGCCAACAAGCAATGGTCCAACAGCGTGAGCGATCCCTTATGGCTCCCTGGGTTTTCCACCTGCCCCTTGCCCCTCGCTAGGGAAGGCGCGTCAAGCCCATGAGAGTGGAGCCTGAGAGGGAGGGAGGAGGTGGAGGAGAACCTGGGCCACAGCCACTTGCGTCTGCGTCTGCTGCTGCTGGAGGAGCTGCTGCAGAAGCTGCATCTGGTGCTGGCTGGACAGCGGCGTCCCTGGGCCCCAGCCTGGGGGCTTCGAGGAGCAAGAGGGGAGGAGCATCCTGGGCGAGGCCGCCAGCACAGGTTCCTGGGGGTGGGGAGAGACCTGGAGGAGAAGACAAGACGGGCGTGACCCCAGGCCGTGGCCGCTCTCCTACACGTGGCACCGACACGGCCGGCGTGAAACGCTGCATCCCTAGTGGAGGTGTGGACAGGACCCTGGGCCGGGGCCACCAGGCAGGCGGCGCTGCCGGGACCCTCAGTAACTGACCCAACGTGATGGAGGCAGACGGTGGGTACCGGCCTCTCATGCCGCGTCCAACAATAACCACACCTGGACTTCGGGGGGCTGATCTCTGGGGAACCTACCACCCACCACCCTGTTACGAGACCGGGAAGGGGGAAGCTGCCACCTTCACTCTGCTGGGTCCCCGGGGCTCCCTCCTCCAGGGCTGCATGAGGGGGGCCACTCCAGCCGGCCCTGCCTCGCAGGGAGAGCCGCTGGTCTGGACAGACCCTCTCTGCAGGCTGAACGTGGTTTCTGTGCCGTCCCCCTCGGCCTCCCTCCTGGCAGGTGGGAACTGTCACTAAGATGGCTAATGTGATCCATAAAGCAAGTTCAGGGAGAGACGTCTTGTGTCTGGGAGCTCTGCTGCTGGCCCTTCCTCAGACAGGAGGGAGGGAGGCACCCACTGACCCATGGCTCTTGCGGTTTGCGGCGGGCACATGACGTCAGGACAATGTCAGGCAGACGATGGGCCCGCACCGCCCTCCAGACTGGAGACAGGCTTCTCCCGATGAGCCGCCCGTTGACCTGCACCAGAAAAGGCCGACGCCCAACAGGAAGGCGAGGCGGCCAGGATGCGGGGAGTCGAAGGGGAGGCCCGCTTCTCAGCCTTCTCCTCCTGGCTTTTCCCTTGCGTCTTCAGGTTGGAATGTGCTCCCAAGTTCTTAGTGTCCCGGTCTGGCTTCTACCAGGAACTCCTTGGGAGCCCGGTCATCTCAGCTGTAAGACGTGAGGCTGGAGTTGATGATGCCTGAGGTTGTAACCCCCAAGGGGCCAAGTGCCAGCCTCAGCGGCACCGGCGTGTGGGCGCGCCCCAGCAGTCGCTACCTGCAGGCGGAGGCCGCCAGAGCGAACTCCGCTCCGGGGATCTGTCGTGGCCCGTGAGGATTAGCTTTGCGCAGGCACCAGGCTGGGATGTGGAGCCACGGGGGGGCAGGACTGCCAGGGAGCACGGCCAAGGAGCACGGCGGGGCCCCTGGAGCACGACGCTCGTCAGGCATAAGCCAGCGGCATCGGCACTCGGCCCCTCTCAGAGGAGAGGAAACCTGCTCTGTCACCGAAGTTGACCCCGCACGGGCGAGGACGTGACTCTGACAGTGGCTGAGGCCACAGCCCGTGTTGCTCCGGGAGGCCGTGTGCATGCAGACCGTGTGATGCGCCGCCTCCCACCTACCTTGGGGTCCGGGTGGGAGCCTCCTTCCTTCCTGACAGCATCAAGGTCTGTCACACCTCGGCTGAATTCCAAGACATCATTCCCCGCGAGCGGGACCTCCACTGCATCGATGTCCGTCTCCTCCGCGGTGGCCGTGGAGGCCCTCTCGGCTCCAGGGAGCTGGCGGCCTGCAGGGCGACAGAGGGAAGGGCAGGGCGCCGCCAAGAACAAGGTCCTCCTCCCTTCCTGGCACTTCACATTCAGCTACGTCAGGCCCAGAGAGCACCACTGGCTTCCTGACCTCTCCACCCGCCCTTCATTCCCAAACCGGTGAGATGTTCCTATTTAATCTCTCTTCAGAGTCCAGAAACAAAAATGAAGTTTCCTTGAGGCTGGACGCCACTGCTTTGCCAGGTTGGCATGAGGTCGATACTGACGGGGTGCAGGGGCTCAAGAAGGGAGGGGGTAACTGTCACCTCGACCTCCTCTGAGCTCAGGAGTGGAATCCACCCAGGGACAGCACCAGGAACTGGGAGTCCAGAGATATGGGGGCTCCCCAGCCGTGCCCCTGGCGGGCTGTCAGACCAGGGGTAAGTGGCCCCCACTCCCAGGGCCTCAGCTCCGACAGCAAAATCAGAGGCCGAGTTAGATGGACAAAGGGCACGTGACAGAAGAATGAGGGCAAGGAGACCTGAGGCCCCATCTGAGACGGGGGCAGCCCTCTACCCCTCCAAGGCGAGCCGGACTCTGACCTTGTCACCAAGCACAGAAGTCAGGAAAGGGGCCTGCAGGAGGCAGCAGTGGGGACAGAAGGGTGACAGAGGGGGTGGCTAGGTTTCAAGTCTTCTGCAGTCTGTCCACACTCCACTTTTCACCTCCCCCTGAAGACAGCGGCTGCACTCAGCATGTGTGTGGAAGTCCTGCTGTTTCTTATTTTCCTTCATTCCCTGTTCTTATTTCTTGATTCTATAAAAACCTGGCCATTCCTGGGCATTTCCTGGGAAGTATTTTTCTTTCTCTACATCTGGAATTAAGCTCATTGTTACTGTACTCAAATAAGATTTCTTAAAAGATTTCAGAGACCAAGCACCACATGTAAAATGGAAGAGGTTTATGTCAGCAGGAAATACAGAGAGCCAATTCCCTCCCTGAGCAGCCAGGCCTTAGCTGTCTGAGGGCCTGCCTCGGAGAACAAATAGTTTTTTGTTTTTTTTTTTTAAATATTTATTTAAGTAATCTCTATACCCAACATGGGGCTTGAACACCACCCCAAGATCAAAAGTTGCGTGCTCTACCAACTGAGCCAGGCAGGTGCCCCTGGAACAAATAGTTCTAACAGGTCTTCCTATGCAAACCACGTGAGTCAACTGGGGAAGCAAGCCTGGTTTTCAGAAAGCCAACAGGGTGCTTGGTTTTCCTCCCGGCTGCTCCAGGACTTGGGACACAGCCCTGGGACAGGGCCTGGCGGAGTGGCTCTGCTCCTCTGTGAGGCAGCAGGCGGGGACACAGAGCAGGCTGCTTCCCACCACACCCCTGCGCCCAGAAGTGACCTTCCTGATGGTCGGGAGGGCTAGCCTGTGAGACGAGGGCGGACGGAGAACTCGTGCCTACTTCTCCACAGGTGGATGGGCTGGACTGTAAGCATCGGTTCTCTGGGCCAGTGTGGAGATGAACAGGGTGAAATGCATGTGTTTTGAGCAGAAATGATTTCCCCCAGTCCCCAGGAGAGGCTCAGTCCCGCAGCACTGTGCATCCACTTGTTGGCATACTTGACACTGGGGATTGGGCGTGCCTGGCCTTCTAGTCCAACCCCCGCAAACCCCTCAGTCTTGAGGCCAGGGCTGGATCTCATTCATGTTTCCCAGGGCTCTGGTACGGAGAAGGAATTCAGTAAACACTAACAAAGGAAAGAGTGTCATGATAGGTCAGCGAAACAGAGGAGTGGGCTACAGAAGAAGGCTGCCCCCCCCGACCCCCATTCCTGGAGTCCCTAATACCAAGGACACAAAGCGTTTGGAGATGCCCAGGCCAGAAGCCTGGAGGGATCAGAAACTCTCTCGGGTTCTTGCTCTGTTTCTGAGGGAGTCACAGACTTCTCGGCCATTCCCCAAACCAAGGCTGAGGAAGGGGCGTCACAAGCCACAGGACCTGCTTTCTGAGGGACTTCCTGCCACCCCATGGGCTCTCTGATGATCACCTCTGAAGTCCTGAGCTTGGACGATGGCTAATGGGTGAAAGTCAGGATGGTAACAGACCTGTTAGAACAAGGAGGGTAAAGCTGGGGTGGACAGAATGCTCTGGATGCCATGCCTGTTAGCATATCGGATAAGGCAAGATTTAGAGGGCAGACCCACAGCGGATCCTCAGGTCCTGACAGACAAGGGGGGAATATCTCGTATTTGCAACTTTCCTGGCATCAAGAAGCTTAAAGGACCAGAAACGATATGAAAAACCTTCTAGCAAAACCGGGAAACTTACGAGATTGGACTGTGTTTTCAAGGCTTCCCCAGCCTGATGGAGGAACCAGAGACCATGGATGCAGCAGGAGGCCGTGTCCCCTCAGAGGGAGCTATCCCGGATGCAGGGGGTAACCCGTGCAGAGGGGAGAACACCTGGAGAAGGAGTACCAGCTAAGGGAGGTGAGGAAGCGGTCCTGGGGAGGGGAGGGCTGGGAAGGCGTTCTAGGTGGGGGAAAAGATACAGAGGTATTCACTGCCAACGGCTCTGTATGGAGGGACCCAACCAGGAAGAGTCAGGATTTTATCTTGAAGGATTGAAAGCAGGTGAGTAATACCAAAGGGTTTTCATCCTTTCAAATTTCACCCTAGAAATGATGTGGAGGACAGATCTAGAAGGGACAAGATAGAAAGCAACACTCCAGGTGAGAAACAGGAGGGCTTACGCTAAGAGGGTCACAGTAGCAGAGGAGAACAGATATGAAAGGTTTTCAGGGCACAGAAATCACAGGACAGGGTGACAGACTAACGGTAGTGGGGGGAAATAGAGCGGTGGGAATAGGGAGGGAGGGAGAGAGGAATATGCGTAAAATGAGTTTTGAAATTTCTGATTTAGGTGACCTCGTAGGGACTGGTGCCCTTTAGGGAAGTTTCGGGAGGAGCAGGGTTGTGGGTAAGACGGAGTTTTAAACCTGCTGGAATCACAGGGTCTGTAACAACCAAGTGGAGATACCCATCAGCTGTTGGAGAGTTCAGGAAAAAGATCTGGTCTGGAAATAAACATCAGTCGAGACCACGGGGGAAGTCAGAAAAGAGCACAGGGACCGAGCCCAGGAGAAATGCAAAGGATGTTGGAAAGCAAGTAGCAGATAAAAAAAAAAAAGGTTGTGCGTGCATATGGGGTGGTGCCCCAGAAGCTGGGGTGGGGTGGGGGCGGGGCGAGTGCTTCCTGCCCCGTGGTGAACTCGGCACAGAAAGGCTGGTTCAGGTTGCTAGCTAGGGGCCTCAGTGACCTTGACTGGTGGTCTCCGGAAGGGCTGGCAGGCAGCAGATACCACATCGCGGGAGGCTGGAGGGATAACGGCCAGGATGCAGGGACAAGGAAGAAGCTATATGAGCGCAGATAAATCTGGCAAGAAGCTGAACGATGAGGTAAAGATAAGGCTGGGGGAGACGCAGGGGCAAGGAAGGCTGGATTTGGTTTTGTTTTGACGATGAGAGAGGCTTGACCTTATCTGTCCACAGTGGGGAAGAAGCCAGCAGCTGCGGAAGACTCAGGTGACCCCTCGGGAGAGACAGCCCTGGTGGCCTGGTGCTCAGGGAGAAGCAAGTGAAGGGTAATCCTGGCCGGGCGGGGGGCGGGGGATGACGACACCGACCACGGGGCGGAAGCTGGGGACAAGCAGCAGGGTGGCCCTGGGGAACATAAGGGATGGACCTGTGTACGGCTGGTTTCCCGGGGATGGGCCAGCATCGGGGGCTCAACGGAGAGGCGTTTCTGGGTCAATGCAGAACTTGTCACATGTCGAGGATACAGTAATAAAATGGTTTCAAAAAAGAATACGAGTTAATTAGCTCAGTCACAAAGTGCTGGACACGGCCACTTTTTGGCCTCAAAACTGCACTGGTAACAGCTTAAATTTAAATAGCACTTACTACCTTCCAGGCACTAATTTAAGTGTTTTACCCGTATAAATCGTTTATCCTCAGAACCACCCTCCAGGAGGTCCAGGCACTGACAGGTAAACTGAGGCACAGAGCTGGGAAGGCGGGTGCTGGGGCTCCAGGCCCAGTGCTCGGAACCACTGTGGTGTCACCCTGCCTCCCCCCAGGCTGGCGACTTCCACCTGCAGTCCCCCACAGCCCCCCTCACTGTCTTCACTTACACACTCCAGGTGATCTGGTGTATTTGTCATGGGTTCGTACCCCCACCCCCAACTTTGAAAGCCAGCTCCTTGCCATGGGGGACCTGTCTTGTTCAGTTCACCCAGAACTGAGCCTGGCACGTCGGGCGGGGGAGGGGGGGCGAGATGAACATCTGTGGAATGAAGGAGGGCACTAAAACCAAGGAAAGACAGACGATGGGGCGGCGGTCGCCTGGTCTGGAGAAGAAGGGGGAGGTGGGGGCGCAGACGGAACGGGTCAGCAGCCTGCTCGCTGTTCGGAGTGAGCAGCGGATGTAACGCGTACGCAAAATAAATATTCCCCCCAACCCGCTGCTCACTGTCTAGATGGCCAGCTTTCTTTTCAAGAAGCTCTATTCCTCCCAAGCGTTCCAAGCCCTTCCCCACATTGGATGGCTGCCATGGGAGGAGGAGGAGGCCTCCAAGGGAACGGGATCTCGCCCAGGAAACCCTCTCCAGGAGTCAAAGAAACCACACAAGGCAGAGCAGGGAGGGCGGAGCAGGAGCCCTGGCCCCACCTGGCTCTGAGCTCCAGGGACGCGCCCAAGGCTGCCCAAGGCGGTTGCTGCCAAAAGATACCAAAGATAAATCTCCCCGAGGGTAGGGCCCGGTGGAAAGAATGAGGGAGGAAAGAAAGGCAGGCACTGAGGGGACAGTGAAGGTGGATGCCATCTTAAAAGCACTGCTGGAACCCAGAGGGTAAAGGGCGGACAAGACGTCAAAGACCACGCGCGCGCAGGTCTCCCCTGTGCCGTCACGGGCCTGCTGCCACGTCACGTGGGGCGGCGCCGGGACAAAGGTACACACGGCATTAAACAGAAAGCTCCCGAGCATGGATGCGAGCTGATGCTCGTAACAACACACGCACGCACGCACACAACCAACAATTCTACTCTGGTGCTTCGAGGTCCCCCATTACAGACGAAAATCCCACTGCAGTCAATAAATGCTTCTGGGGGAGGCACTTACGGACAGAAGAGACGCGTCCCCAGTGGTTTACAGCCCGTAAGCAAGCAGGTGGGGCCCTAAAGAGCAAGGGACAATGGGGCCGGGCAGTAAGCAGCTTTCCTTGAGGGAGAAAGGTTTCCCATCCCAGATCTGCGGCATCCCAAACGCTAGTACTCTAAGTATCTAAGTAGGCTTGCCTTCAGGGTAAACGCTGCGATGGGAGGGCATCCTAATTCATCACTGAACTCAGACCTGCCCTAAGACCATGGGACTCGAGAGACCCTCCTGTCTCCTTCCCGCACTGCCTAGATGGGGTAGGTCATGCATTTTCGACTCAGAGCCACAGAACTAGCTACTCTGTAATATGTATTTAGAGTACCGTACCGTTGGCCCTTGAGCAACACGGGGATTAGGGCACCGACCACCCCATGCAGTTGAAAATCCACATGTAACTTCTGATGCCCCCAAAACGTAACTAATAGCCTACTGTTGTTAATAGCCGTATCAGTAACAGTTGATCAACACATATTTTGTAGGTTACAAGTAATACACCATATTCTTAGAATAAGAAAGCTGGAGGAAAAGGAAATGTTATTCAGAATGATGGCCGTTGGGGCAGGCAGCAGGTGGAATCACGGGAGTGAGGTCTCGGGGCGAGACCGGCGGGCTAAGCAGAGAGCTGGTGACGGGGACAGTGGCTATGGGTCGAGACCAACGTGGCTGTGGCCCTCCAGCTGTAGCAGACGGTCAGCATGGAAATAACAAGCCCGCCAGCCATGTCACCTCTCTCCTTACTACCTTCTTGGTGATCGTTTTCTCAAATAACATTAATATACACGAGACCTCAGCTACTTGGCTTCTTCTGCATACCCTGCTCCCCAAAATGTAACATAAATGATGTTCTACATGTAGAAACATCGGTCTAGGGGTGCCTGGGTGGCTCAGTCAGTTAAGCGTCTGCCTTCAGCTCAGGTCATGATCACAGGGTCCAGGGATTGAGCCCCACATCGGGCTCCCTGCTCAGCGGGGAGCCTGCTTCTCCCTCTGCCTGCCACTCCCCCTGCTTGTGCTCTCTTGGCTCTCTCTCTCTCAGATAAGTAAATTAAAAAATCTTAAAAAAAGAAACATCATTCTAGTATAGTTTCTTCAAAGTTTAAGACGTCAAAGACCTGAGGGTGTATCTTAAGGAGGTCCAGCACAGAACGGATGTGCTGTCTACATAACCTACTGGCATCCCAGCAGAGCCTCTCTCCTCCTTGTGTAAATGAGGATACAGCCCTGCAGAGTGATGAAAACTGTATCAGGGAACTACACGTAGAGATATTGATTTTAAGGAATTGGCTCATGTGATTGTGGAGGTGTGACAAGTCCAAAATCTGTAGGGTAGGCTAGGGACCCAGGGAAGAGTTGTAGTCCAAGTCCAAAGGTGATCTAGTGGCAGAATCCCCCTTTGTTCTAATAAGGCCTTCAACTGATTGGTTGAGGCCCACCTACATTATGGAGGGTGTTCTGCTTTACCCAAAGCCTCTGATTTATATGTCAGTCTCGGGGCGCCTGGGTGGCTCAGTCGGTGAAATGTCTGCCTTCGGCTCAGGTCATGATCTCAGGGTCCTGGGATTGAGCCCCACGTCGGGCTCCCTGCTCAGCGGGGCTGAGGGAGTCTGCTTCTCCCTTTCCCTCAGTGCTCTCCCTCCCTCCCTCTCTCTCAAATAAATAAAATCTTAAAAAAAAAAAAGTGTTAATCTCATCTGAAAAATACCTTCCCAGCAACATCTAAAATAATATCACATGTTGTATGTGTCTGGGTCTACGTCTAAGCTTTCTATTCTGATCTACCCAGGGACGCGTTCATGTGATGGTACAGTTTTACCTAGTATAGCTTTATGTTTTTATGTCTACAAAGCCACTCATCTGTCATCACTCACCTTTTCCAGAAAATTTTTCTGTTCTTGCTTTTTTATTTTTCCTTATTTCTGTTACAATATTAACAGCTAACATGTATCTGGTGTTTACTATGTACCAGGCGTTTCACATGTATCTGCTCATCTGTGGTCACAATAATCCTATGTGGTGGACACGACTTTATTCCTGTTTTCTTCCAAAGAGAACACTAAGGCCCAGAGAGGTTATTAACTTGCCCCAGATCACACAGCCAGGGACTGGTGCTGCCAGAAGGAAGACCAACCGTCTGCGTTCTCAAGCCCTTTGCAGCGTGAGATTTTACTTTGTTGTTTTCTGACTTCCTGAGTTGGATGCTGCACTAATTTGATTTTCACGATTGCTTCTCTGTTAACATAAACAGTCGAACCTTTGGATTTTCCTCTGCACACTACTTTATCTGTGTCCCCCAGGTTCTGAATATAATAGCTTTCCATTGTGACCCTTCTGCCATCAGAAATTTATACTGTTCTGTTAAAGTGAGAGATGAACAGGAGAATTCGCATTTTTGTAAAAGATGTTCAGGTTTCCTGACACTTCAAAATGAGAGATATTGGAAAAATGTCCACATGGAAGGTTCACAGGACTACAGAATTTAGAAAACAGGAAAAAAGCTATTAAGGTAATTATAAACTTTATCTTCTTTCTAATCTGTTTTATGAAGGTGCTTTTGTATTGAAGTTTTCTTGGGGGTCAGATTTGGTGGCATCAGCCACTCAAACGCTTCCTTGTTCGATAAACATCTTTAATTTTCTATTAGGAAAGCCACACGTGTTCCTTAAAGAAAATTTGGACTCGAGAGAGAAAAAGAAACACTAAAATGTTTTTTAAGTGGACTGGTTGCCTGGGACTTGGTGGGGGGAGGTGTGGCCCCATGCTGGGTGCCCCCCACCCTCTGCCGCCACCACCACCTCCTGTCCATCCACGCCCACTGCCTACACCTGCCAGGTGCCTACCTGGGTCCCCCGAGCAGCTGCTGTTCTTCTCGCTCTCTCCATCCTCCTGCCCGTCTGCGTTCTGCTGCGTGTGCTGGAGGCTCAGCTTATGGCAGACCTCGAAGGCCTGCCCGACCGTCCGCACGATTCGCATAGCTTGGCTCTGGGAAGGAGAAAGGAAAAGAGCAAGTGAAGGGCGTGGGGCATGGGGACCCTTTGCAAGGACACAAGAAGGGCCAGGGATGGGAGAGGACGTGCCGGGGCCTCGGGGACAGAAACCCATGAGGCCGGCAAAGGAAAGAGATGGAAACATCTAACGTGGCTTTGACGTCCAGACGCTCACCAAGAGGAGCGCGGAGATAGTTTTCTTCTTGAAATGGCCCAGAAAATAGACACTCACCACGGTTCTGTAACAATAAGCCAACTGGAAGGACAGACAGCAAATACCCCAATTCTGGACTTAGCCCAATTCATCCTTCCAGGTTTAACAAAAGTGGTCGAGATCCTTCCGACTCCTTTGCCAACCACAATCAAATGTTCAACGGGTTCGCCACATGAAGAGCAACTCAGCCATCACTTCTTTCCTGCTGGAAATGGTGAGTCTCCAGCAGACCAGGGATGGTGGGGAGACGGGGCCGGGAAGCCGCCATCTAAACAGCAGAGCCAGCGAAGCCCGGAATCCAAGTCCCCTGGAACACCACTGGCAGCAAGCTTAACTAAGGAGAGCCTTCCCAGTCTCGCTCTAAAGACATAGCTCCCTTGGGTCTGTTCCATGGCTATTTCTCTTTGCTGTTTTTCCTCCTTTCTTTCTTTATTGGCTTGGAGGTGGGGGGCTGAGGAGCTATTTAACTGCTTCTTTTAATAGCCCAAGAACAGAGCCTGAGTCTAGCTCTCCTTAACTTGGAGAGGAAGAGGACACAGGACAAAGAAGCCTCGTCCCCTACAGTCTTAAGGGACCCACACAAGCTCTGAGGAAGAACCACAACCATGGTCCCCAGGGCCTGGCCTCCAAAGTGGATAGCTGACCAACTGCATCCTCAGTCCGCTTTCACTGTCTTCCAAAGACTGAGTCAAGGGCAAGCTACAGGCTGGGTGAGCCCAGCTCACTGCACCTTGTCCCCTGGGGTCCCCAAACACCCCACCACCACTGACAGCAGTTTATTTAACCGTGGCTGTCCCCCTACGCCTGCGTCTGAGATTAGTCACATTTTGGACGATCTGACTCCAGGTCAGCTGTGCCTACCTAGCCAAGCTCCACATTCACCACAGCGTCTGTTGCTATAGAATCTCAGGTTCCCCCAAGGAGGACAGGTGACAAATTCCACCATCCCTGGAAGCCACAGGTACTTTCCTTAACTAGCTGTGAGGATGATGTTAGAAGTCGAAAGGTCCTCACACAGGTGCCCCTGAATCTATAGGATTAGACAGGGGTAGGGACAGGATTCTCATCTTCTCTTTGAAAGGGAGCACTCAGATTTCGATCCAGGAGGAAATGACTTCTCAGAGGACCTGCATTTCTCCTGCATCCCAAGCTGGGCCATGGAACACACTCAGGACTGACCTCTGAAGAACCCAGACTATGGCTCACATCTCTGCCACCTTTATCAAGGACAAACGTACGGGACATGCACACCAGTTGCAACCAACTATTTACAAGCCCAAAATGGTGAGAAGGAAGTGGGCTGGTTTTAATGCTTAGTCTTCTCCACGCTTCCTGTTCACACGTTAATACACTCACTATCGTAAGCAGCTGACCCTCACCTCGGATTCCCTGAAGAGGCAGGAAATGCGGACTTTATTAGGCTCACTGGTCCCGCCTTCCGTGTTGGAAATGGCACCCCACCTCATCGCCTCAGGCCCCCACCCCTTCCTACCCACCCTTCCTGACAGCTATTCTATGCCTGCCTGTGACGCCACCTGAAGGGGTGACTCGGTGAGGTCTACGACCTCTCCTCCACCACCCGGAGGGTTACCTGTAGGACTAACATGCGAGAGAGCACCTCCCACACTGCTCGGCATACCCTGAGTGCTCACCAACAGGTTTTAGTGTCGAAAGGCAATGAAGACAGAAAATAAACAGGAATGGCTGGGCTTACTTTATCAACAACAGAAAGATATGAAGGGAGTTGCCTCTGACTACGTATGTGAGCATGAAAAATAAAAGGCTAAACCACCCTCTCTCCCCACAGCGCGCAACAGAGGAGAAGCCGCCGGCCAGATGATGCTTGGTCTGTGCCTGTGTGATGATTTCCACCACGAGAAGCTGTCGGATTAGAGTTCTAGGTTTGCACGTTCGCTGCTAAGTAGCTTCCTTTCAATTTGTGCTTTACTCCCCTCGAATGGAGGTCGTATTTCCACTCGCAGTAAAAGGGCACAGTGGCACGTTCCATGAGGAGCCCTCTGAACTTGAACACGCAATCAAGCTACCCTGCTACCTGCTTTACAGGAGGACTGGAAACACGTGAGAGAAGTGGCCTCTCTTCTCAGCACTCTAGAAGCTGGAAGACGCCGGATGGCTCCCAATTCTCAGAGATGGCTGTGTGAGTTCAGGTGCCCTCTGACCTTTCAGGCTTGCCTCCCCTCACCAGTGGGAAGTCTACTTTTAGTGGATTCCCATATAAGGACCCCGTTGGGGGAAATGACTTGAAGACGGCTCGGATTCCCATACAAGGCCAACCCGCACCAGGCGGGGCCTATTCCTCCCCCAGCTGGTACCATCTGCACAGCCATGCTGGTTCCTGCTGTCTGGGCCTGCGCCGCCCAGGGACCAGGCCTTCTGGCCTTCCAAGCAAGAAAACCGGTTCTGCCTGCTGCCCGGGAATGCAGGGCTCACATGTGCTAAGACTTGATAGTTCATACACCATGTCTAAGCCCACGAGGGAGGACTCTTCACTAAAAGCAGCTTTCAAAAGAACCCTTTCCATAGGTCCCCATGGGTCCCAAGGAGCTGCTCACACCTCACGACCACAAACAGGCCTTTGGAAATCAAAGGGGAGATGAAAAGATGTGAAGGCAGCCAGGCACAGAGCAGAACACACAAGCGGCATGCTGGGAAGGCGGCCTTCTCCAGTTCCAGAACCTGGCCATTCTCTGGAATTTGCCAGATTTTTACAAAGCATCCCTATACTGCACTATTTCTGGACAAATCCAGTTTAGTCTCACAAAAGCCCCCTGAAAGTAATTGGCCACATGGATCAAATCTTCCTGTCCAAAAGCCACTTTCCATCAGCAGTCCCAAAGCATCTGTGGGCTTTGAATTGTCAAGATTAGGCTGGCTGTGGTTGCTTTGATGTTTTTCAAAGCTGGGACGGAATATCTAACTTCTCGGAGTGGCTCTCAGCCACAGATGGGGACCACGGCAGCTCAGGAGAGTGCCGATTACAGGCAATTTTGTGAAACAGGGCTGGAAAGGAAGTGGTCTTACAACTTTGTACCACTTACCGTCGTGACACACAGAAATGCTTCTTTAGACCATTCTACTTATTCATGCTGACAAAGCCTCCCTCCCTCTCACCACCCCCCAAGGCCATCCTTCCGTCCAGCACAGAGGTCAAGACACAACCAACGGCTGTCCTCTTGTGGGTACCAACGACACGCCTAAGGGGTATCCGGTGAACTGCACCAGCCACCATGAACTAAGGCCATGTTCTCCATGAGAGTGGGTGGCTGCTCAAAAGCACACAAGAGTCTGCAGTGGTAGCTTCAGGAAGACAGAAATCAAAAGGTTGATGCCCCTGTATTTCACTGATCCAGGGAAAAATTATAGTCGGTCATGATTTTATCTTCTGTTCCCATGTTAGGGGACCCCGTTGTCGGTTGGCCCTGTAGACGTGGAGAATCTTCCGAGTGCGACATACACGTGAAGAATGGTAGATATTCGTCTGATTCCGCAGCTGACTTAAGGAATGACCCTGGGCGCTGCTCCGCATTTCACCGTCGTGGAAAAAGCTGTATTTCACAATTCCTGGAGATGACGTAAGGAGTCCTCAGGTAAGTAAGGAAAGGGATGAGCAGGCGCTCATCATGAAGATGAAGATGGCAAAGGCAACAGTAAGAAGAGGGAAACGTGGTGCCCACTCCTCCCTAGTCTGCAGCTCTCTCTTCTCCACTCTCATCTACTGCCTCCGCACCCCACACTTGAGACCTGTCTGCTGAGTACTTCTGAATCCCAGGGGACTGAAGTCCACTAAGTCAATTCCAGGACAGCTCCTGGGTTTATAATTCTTCTCATCTATCACAGCAATAAAGTCCAGTGCCCTTACCTTGACCTGAGCTACCAGCCTCAGCAACAAAAAAATAGAACTGAAGGTCATGTTTCTTTAATGTGCTTCCCCCCCCCTTTTTCAAACTGTTATAAAAGATTTAAGCTTGTATCTATCAAATGACGGCAGTGTACAGAATTCACAATGCTGAAGCAAGAAAATATATTTGGAATTCTACACAGAGGAAGATCCAAGGTATGAAGGCTCTGAAACGGGAGATGGGTGGGGATTCTGTCCAACAGGTTATGGAATGGTCTTGATCTATAATTTGATTGAGGCAATGCCTGGGACACCAGAATATTGCTCACTATGGGGAAAGTTTAGTTTCAAAGTGAGTAGGACTTTCGACATCGACAGGACATAGGGCATCTTAAAATTTCCAGTAGACTGCTGGGTTCTTCCTAGTACTCTGCTAGTCCACGAACCACAGGACCATAGAGGAAAGAAGGCTGGGTTATAAACTCGGTACTGGCGGTAACCACCCAGGTGACCGTGAGCAAGTTAACTCACCTTTCCAGGAGCCGACTTCCTCATCCATAAACAGAGAGGTTTGGACCAGATGAGTTCAGAGACCTGTGGCTTCTCTATTTTGACTTCCTAACCCCATCCCACCACCCCAACATTTAAGACATAAAAAACAGGCTCTTGCCCTGAGTGTAGGACCTCCCTCTCCTTCACTGTAAACTTGGCCGGGCAAGTGACTTATTGTTTAGCCCATGACTGTCATCATCGCTCAAAATCCATTGCAAGCACTCAAGGACGGACCATGAGGCTTCTCAGCTGTGGCCGCTCATCTGATGGTGACAGCATTACAGGAGGAAGAAATTTCTCCTAACCCAAACCAACTGAGCTGTGATTGCAGGCAAAATGATTTCAAGGAGCTGCCCATGAAGAGACCAGGGAGATTCCTGCGGCTCTTGTTAATCACCAACACTTCACGCACTGATGCGCTATTAAGTACAGTCACACTTAATCAGGGCCGACAGCCTCATTCTCCCGGGGCTGGGAGGACAAGACAGGAGGGCGACATCCACTCCACAGGAGAGGTCAAGAGACCACGCAAGAGGCCAGAGGCCTTGCACATGAATACTATCATTATACCCCCCAAGGAGGGGAAGCAGAATGCCGTGGTCATTAGGAAACGTCTCCACCGGATGCTCTGGGCGAGGAAAAGACCCACTCCCAGCCTTCCTTTCTCACAGAAGTCTGAACGATGCGGGGACAAACATCCCCTCCACAGACACACGCCCACCACCAGCCCCGGCAAGCCTTCCCAGTCACACACAACTCATTCCTGACGATCGGATCCTTTCACACACAACCACCCGCATTCCTGAGATGCCTTTCATCGCACTTGGTGGCTGGAGCAGCTCAAGTCTAGAGGCTCATGTTCCTTCTAGGAGTTTCATACAACAGAGGTTAGTGGCCAAAGCTCAGGACGAGGGGGCGGGAGGCCTGGTTCCAGTATCAGTGGCATGGTTGACTCACTGTGTGACCAACGGCAACCCACTTCCCTGGGCCCTTTCCTTCCCCAACTATATAATGGAGTCAGTACCGATCCTACAAAGACAGTGAGAGGAAGAGAAGGAAAATCTGTGTCAGAGTGACTTGGGTCATTCAGAGTTAAGAAGCTCTCCATACCCAAATGACAAGGGCAGGAGAATCCCATTGCAAATAGGTCTTGGAGAACAAGGCAACTCCTTGTTATGCAACTTCCTGATGGAAACCAGTAAAATGGAGTGGTTAAGAGTCAGACTCTTTGGGTTAAGTTCCACTTATTTTGACTTATGTCCCTTAAGCTTCTGTTTTCCCATCTGGAAAATGAAGAGCGTAAGAGTACCTATCTCACACACCTGCCATAGGAAGGATATAAGATAAGTCACGTAAAGAGTTTAGAAGAGCGGCCGGGACATAGCAGGTAACCAAAACAGACGACTTCCTATGAAGCAAGAACTTGAGTAACCTGGAGTCCTAGATGACTAGCAGGTGCTAGGTTAGCTTCCCGCAATCTTTTGCTATCTAGCTCCTGACAAGAGCCCAAGAGGAGAACCACACTGGCTATATGTGTGAGCGACCTGTGTGAGGAGCCACAGATCCAGAATCACTGTCATGCCAGGGTGAGGCCGGGGGCCCTCCACCAGGACAGCTGAGATGCCTGACCCCTATTCTCAACCGACAGAAGAGACAGCCCTGCTCCCCAGGGTGAACGGGAAGGGAAGGGCGACAACCACACGAGGAGCCTGTCATGGGAAACAGGCCCTGGGTGCCCACATGGGCCATGGTGTGATCCAAACAGCAATACCCCAAAGCCCTGACACAGCAAGGAGCTCATAGGAGGTCTTTCTACACTATGATCAACACGAAGGCTCTGGAGGACAGCCAGGTCTGCTGGCTACCAGTCAGGAGATCTCCTGATCGATCGACCACCAATGCTCCAAAAACATCCCTGCAAGACATGTCCCTTCAGGGCATGGAGTCCCTCCCCACACCCCTTCTTCCCTCCCCTCCCCACCACTTCATAGGTATTCCTATGACTGGCTAATTAAAACTCTTTCCCAAGCTAACTCTTACCTCCCCAGACCAGAAGTGCTTTACACAACAGTAAGTCACCATCCCCAGAGGCTCACCGGCATAAGCATGAGAAACCTGGCAGGCAGGGCCCCCCGCCCGGCCCATCTGCGGGCTTTCCTACACACTCACTTCTCCTCATTGGCCCTTCCTCCCACAGTTCAGCAGCAGCAGGCCTCCCAGGCTGTCTGGACACCATTCTTTCAGCTGCCTGGCTGCAGGCCAGCAAAGGGCCTGAGAACCCACTCCACCGAGAGTTACAGCCTCAGGAGGTGAGGGGAAAAGGGACACGGAAAATAGAAGAGCCAGAGATCCGAACGAGCCCCGAGAGCTAGGAGACATGGGAAAAGCCGAACTGGGAGGGAGCTGGGCGACCACTCCTTTGTCACTGGGTAATAAGAACTCAATTCTGTGCTTTGCTTCAAGGTCAAAGTCCCAGTGGGCACTGCTCTCCGACTCCCAGGTTTTGGCAGGATGGGACGGCCCCACTGTGTTTGTATCTGCTAGATCTGACGGCAAAGCAAATAGAATGAATGATACCCTTTACCTAGGCTTTCCTGCTCAAAATTCTGCCCGGCTCCCTGACTCTGGCCAGTGCCTCTTCATGGGACTGTGAGCAAGTCATTTCATCTCTCTGAGCTTCAATTTAGTCATCTGAGAAATTGGGGGGGGAAATTACCTGTCTTAACTTCTTCACAGAGGTTTTAGAATGATCAAGCAAGATTAAATATTACAGTACTTGGTAAATTATAATGTGCTATGTGTAGCTCTAGTAAATCCCAAGGCCCACGTGGTCCAGCCTCTGGACAAAACTGAAGTCAGATGGACAGTTGGGCACTCAAAATGAATTAAAAGGGGATTGTAGTCTTTAGTTGCACCTGTCAAAGCACATTACAGATGATCCAAATCTTAATTGTCAGGAACACTTTGCATTTCCCAGATCCCCTGTACCTCAAAGCTATAGAAGAGCCTTTCACCCTCCCAAGCTCCCCGTGCTCATCGACTGCCCCTCTGGCTTATCTCTCCCCCCCTCTCCCTCCTCCTCTTCCTATCAGTTCTTCAGTATGCGGCTCGACTTAGCCCCACTTACACATTTTGCTCCACTGTACTATCATCTAGAAGTCTGGCAACTTGTGCATTTTCCTTCTACCTTTCCAGTTCTAGCTCCTTCCATCCAAATTCCATGATTTGCGTTAAAAAGCCTGGGAAAAGGTGGCCAAGGGCACCAATCTCCTCAGAGGAAGAAGCTAAATCAGCAAAGCAGAATTCTCGTTGTAGAGCCAAGGTGGGGGTACTGGACACATAAGATTCACTAATCATGACCCTGTCATGTATTATTCTTATTAGGCCCACTTGACAAGGTCCCTACAAATCTATTAAAGATGCTTTATAGTATACGATGTCATATGGCGTCAAAGAAGGGGTCCACAGGAAGGGATTTGGAAGTCGTCCTCACAGAAAGCCATGCTCGGTGGTTTATGGCCAGAACACCAGACGTGTAAGGAATCTTAGAGGCATAAATAAAGCGTTTGCCGAAATCTCTTCTGCAGAAAAATAGTTCCTAGGATATTACACAGATTACAAGGCAAAAACATGATCCCATGGCTGAAACAGTTTTGTGAAATGCTGGGTTAAATAGAGCTAAAGGGGTTTCTCAAACTTTAGGACTTCCCAGCAAATTCAAGGAGGAGAGTTTTAACACGGAACATTTTGGATCGTAAATATTTTCCAGGAGCCATTTTAGGAAACTCTGCTTTTGACTCTCCTCTTTGTTTTATATAGACAAGGAAGCTGAGACCCACTAGGGAGAGTGACCCACATAATATTTCTCAGGGCTCTAGTGGGGCGGGGGCTAGACCCTAGGTTTCTAACCTCAGTTTTGTGTTAAATTCCTGGAGAAATGATAGAAAAAGCATCTACCAAATTGCCAACGTTGCATTTACTCAAGCATCAAGGTTACGACCCCAAAATAACCACCCAGGACAACCAGCCTCACACACAGAGTCTACACTAGACTCCACATGTCATGATTTGTAGGCCCCTGATCGATATACAAAATTATGATGAAAGGTCACTTAAGTCAACTGCCGTGCTTCTTGCCTACCACACAGCAAGGTGGGCATCACTCCTGGTGTGATCTACCTGTCCCGTTCCAGAGCCCTCATCCGATGGTCGAGATCTCTCCAGTTGTCCACATGTCACAGAGTACAAAGTGGGGATGAAACTGAAGGGGAATTTCATTACACAGGGACACTGACAGACTAATCAGAAGGCTCCCCCATGTCGTGCACGCAGAGAAACACCTCGAATCTTGCCTCTCCAACAACAGGGGATGGGTCAATGTTGGGGAGGGGAGTTACTCTGGGTCCGTCAGAGGAAAATAAGAAACGACCGAAGACTGTCCATTTACCTTCTTCTTGGATTTAAAGACGTTACACCTGAAAGTATTGCTGGCACCATCTCGAGCGATATAGCTGAAGATCTTCAGGTCTTGGGAATCATGAGAGACGTAGAAGATCCTGTAGGAAGAGCAACAGAAAAATGCACCGAAGATGGCATTAGGTTCAAACCTCCAACAAGGAAACCTCCATCTAAGGGCACGCTGAAGACAGAGCTCGCTTCTTCCTGTGAAAGCAGGTGGCACTTTCAACAGGCTCCAGACACTCCCCGGAGCGAGCTCCAGATTCAGAAATGGGGGCATGGGTAGAACACGGACCCCATGCCGTTACTAGGCAGCAAGTCTGTGCTGGTAAATTGTGTATTAGAAGGGGAAAAAAGGGAGCACCTGGGTGGCTCAGTCGGTTAAGCCGCTGCCTTCGGCTCAGGTCATGATCCCGGGGTCCTGGGATCGAGCCCCGCATCGGGCTCCCTGCTCGGCAGGAAGCCTGCTTCTCCCTCTCCCTCTGCCTGCCTCTCTGCCTACTTGTTCTCTCTCTCTCTCTGTCAAATAAATGAATAAAATCTTAAAAAAAAAAAAAAAAGGAAGGGGAAAAAAACCCGTTGCCATCCTTATCAGGGCAATAAATCCGCATCCTACCCGTGGAAATATGGGCAAGTTTCCGGATACCTGTTCATGGTTCTCTCCAAATGCGGAGAGTCAGGGAGCCGGCAACGCCCGCCGCGCTGGGGGAGATGAAGATACTCTGTTCCATTATCAGAGTCCCTCCACGGTAGTGACTTCGCTTCCCGTCCCTCTCCGGCAGGCCCACGGCCTCCAGGCGCTCATTCCATGGCTCCCCCAGTCCCCCGCGAGCACGCTGTTGGCCGGGCGCTATTCCAGCAGCAGCAGGACAGGTAAAGGCCCTAAACCCACAGAGCTCACGTGCAGGAGATCCCAATAAACAAACAGTACGAGTGCTCTGAGGACAAAGAGGCCGAACGAGGGGCAGAGCGTGGCGGCGTTGGATGTTTTGGCCAGGGTGGCCAGAGGGAAGGCCCCACAGAGAGGCAGAGGCCTGAGCGCGAGGGAACCTCCCATGGAACCACCTGGGCGACACCACGGCAGGAAGTGGGAACCGCTCCCGTGAAAGCCCTGTGGCATTCAGAAGGTGCTGGAAGCGTCCGAGGAACGGCCCGACGTCAGGGTGGCTTAAGTGGAGTGCTTGTGCTCGGTGACAGGGTCACGGAAGCGGCCAGAGGCCAGCACACGGGGGCCCTGGAAGGTCAGAGTGCGGACTCCAGGTGAGAAGAGAAACCACTGGAGGCTTCTGAGCAGAGGACTCACTTCCTGCTGCTCTTTTCTGGCTGCTGGGGGCAAGAGAGGAGGCGGAAGGAAGGCTGTGGAAAGGGGGAATGTTGTAAGCAGGGCCCCAGTGGCGGAGTCTGAAGGGGCGCCTAGGACGGGGTGCCCCGGGATCGGCCAGGTCCGAGTGTGGTCAGCATGGGGCAAGGGAGGGAAGAATCGGGGGCGCATCCATGGGACCGGTTTGGGGCGAGCCAAGGAGAGGGTGGCTCCGGAGAAACACCTCTGGGGCCACATCAGTGCCCTAAAACATCTCTTCCTCAGTAATAACCCTGGCGACCTGCATCCGAGGATTTAACGGGCCGATCTGTTTTCCTGTAAGTCAGCGCCACGTACTTTGCAGAAAGAGAATGGGAATTAGAGTAGGATCCGCAACTTTGCCACTGACTGCCGCACCCGTCAAACGGGACGATTAATAGCAACACCTGGCCGGGTTACCGGGAAGATGCAATAATGAGTAAAGTGCCTTTGTACTTCTTACCAATACGCTCTCTCAACAGCCTTGTTACTGAGATTCTCGCCAAGGACCCCAAGGATCCTGGGAGGGGCATTCGGAAGAAAGGTCGACACAGAGAAGAACAATCCTGGCAAGAAACCCAAGTTCACCTCGGGGATGCCATTCCTCTGCTCACTGGGGTCGAAGTCACGTCAGTACGTCTCACATGTCCACCAACCGTGAGTGCCGCAGATGAGAGGTGGGTCTGTTTGTTTAATGCGGCTTCTGAGAAAGGGAAGGGACATGGAAGGGACCGCCCACTGCTGTACCTCGGCACCCCCCCCCCGCCTGAGACCCAGCCCTCCCCCACGGCAATCTTTCTAGACGTCCTCCGCTGAACGTCTCTGAAGCTTCTCAAATTTATCGTGCCCCCCATTGAATTAATCAGCATCCTTGTAATTCTCCAAGCAAACGAGGCCTTCCTTCTCCCAAGCCCCATCTGGACGAGGGGCCCTGGACGCGCACAAGCCACGTCCATGACTTCCTCCCTTGTTTTCCATCTGTTGCTCAGGACCCCGTTCTTTGCAGCCCATCTCCTCAACATGGCTTGGAAATGTATTTGCTTCTTCTCCACGGTACTGCCTTAGTTCACAGATCCTTCTTTTTTCACCTGGATTCCTGCAACCTGCCTAGCGTCTCTCTCTGCTTCCTAGCTCCCCTATGGCCAACCCATTCTCTACCTCGCTAGCAAAGTGGTATTTTTAAAAACACAAACTACATCTCATTATTTCCCTCTGCAAACCTCTCAAAGGCTTCCTACTGCCCTCGAAATCCAGTCCAAACTCCTCAGCATGGCTACCTTCCTGCTTTCGTCTCTTCCCAGAGTCCTGACCTACATAGTCCTTCAGAACTAGTCACACACACCTACCTGCCATTGCCACCGCTGTGACAGCCTGTGTCCTTGAAGACTCGGGTCAGAGACGCTTTCCTGCCCCCAGTAGGAGCTGCTGAACCCCCTGGGGTTCCCCGTTACCACAGCACCTCCCTTGTAAGTACAGTGTTTATGCTAGAGCTCCTTGAAGGAAAAAGGACCACATCCTGGTGTCCCCAGTGCCAACATGGTAATGGGCACAAAGAAGGTTCCTAATACCAGCTGAGGGGGGATTAGTGAGCACCCAACCCGTGATGTGGTCCGTCTGGTTTTTCACTTCTCCTCCCCACCCCCACCCCGGACCAAGGAAGTAAGGTCAGTTAGTTCAGTTGAATCATACATAAAACTCCTTCCACTTTTGAGTTTTTAATTACTACGCAATGCCCTAAGGACTGAGAACTGGAATGAAAACTGATAGGGCAGATATGAAAGCGGAGCAGCATGCCAACAGGACACGGAGACCAGGAAGGCGGCCAGGGACGGCAGCAGGGGAGGATGGACAAAGCAGCCTTCCAGCAAACATGAGGACAGCCGTGTGTCGATGCAGCCCTGGGGACTGGGGCTCTCTGGAGACGGTGCTGCTGTGTCTGAGTTCAGAAACGTAACGTGTCGTTATTAAAGATAAATAACCAAAAAAAAAAAAGAGAGAGAGATAAATAACCTCTAGCTAACCTAGCTAAAATGTCAGCTAGTCAGAGCTTAGAAAAGTATCCACCAACACAGTCAAGCCACAAAGTTTTTCCATGTGACCTCATTCACCAACAAATGAATAAATCAACAAATTAAGGCCACAGGTCGAAAACTCCAGATCTAGAGACATATTCCAAGAACCTTATTTCTTCATACCCTGGTTGTCTTAAGAACTGTGATTGTGTGCCAGGAGCGGGGGAAGGGAGGAGACCCAACACGAGTGCTCCAGAGAATAAGGAAAGATTTTCCTCCCCTTCTTTATCCTGAAGCCTGGTACAGTTTTGATCCTGCTTCCAAAAAGTATCTCAATTTTCTCAACTTTCAGTATAATTATCAAAGGTGAGATACCAGAGTAGTTCATTACACTGTAATAATGATTACAGGGTTTTGTTAGGTTCTGTTCCCCCTTCAGATGTCTTGTTTTTATTTTCAAATATGCATAGAATTATAATTTTCACCTGCTAATGGAACTGTTCTGCTTCAAAGCTATAGCAAAAACTATCCTACGGATTGTTCTATCCATGAACTTATCATAAATGACTGAACTAGAAACGGTATCTCAGAGAAACTGGATTTGGAGCTTATCGCAGAATTCAGGTTGACAGAGCGATAAAGAACCACCAGACCCACCACCAACACCCCCTTTCCTCGACTATTAATCTAAAGTAAACTTGTTTCATCTCAAGAGCACAGGAGAAAAACAGAATTTCACAAAGACACCTTGCATGGTCATCAGGCCTGGATCCAGCCCAGCGTCCCCGCCCCTCAGGATTTGTCACAGTGAAGGGCGACTCCCCGACAGAGGACTCCCTTTTTGGGAGCTTCTCGTTACTTGGGCATTTTCCCTCATGCTGATTAGAAATCTACCAACAGGAATGCAGCAGAGGGAAATGGCTGAAAGCGCCCGATCTTAGGCCCGGGCTCAGCCGCTGACTAGTGGGAGCTCCTGGTCATTATCTCCCTGTGGTTCTTCGCCAGCGCGCTGGGGATGATCAGAGGGCTGCACCTCACCCCCGGGGTTTGGAGGAGGGATGCATACAGCAAGGGGAGCTTCTAGCAGCAAGTGGTTAGCGAACACTAAGTGCTCTTATGACCTCCGCACCACTGCCTTACTTCCACCCTTTGGGGACTTTGGAGAACAAGGCTAACCCTCCTTCCAGAGGGCAACCTTCTGAATATTTGGAAGCCACCGCCATGTTTCTGTTTCCTCCCCTCGTTGTTAAAGTGACTCGCTACCTCCTCTTTCAATAGTCCTTGCACGGCCCATGTCCATCACTTTACCGCCCCGCCAGGCTTGCGCAGAGGGCTGTGGGTGAGAAACATCTCGGTTCAAGTCGTAGCTTTTCCACTCCCCAGCTACTGACCTCAGCCCAACCACTCCACTGACATAACCCTTTCCTTCCTCACTTAAATCGGTATATTAGCAATCCCTGCATGGTATGAAGTATTAAAACACACATACAGCCCACATTTAACACAACGCCCAGCACACGGCGAGTTGCTTGCTCAGTAAACAGGAGTTCCCTCTTCCTTGTGAACCTGTTCTGTACATACCCCAACTCTCCAGGGACTCTTGCCAAGGACACAGAACTGAATCATGTTCTGGACATCTCTGAGTGTGGTTTTTTTATTGAGTGAGAGCATCTCACTGCTGCTTCGCACTGTGGTCAACTCAGGCTCGAAGCCGACTTGCACGACTGCACTCAAGGGCGGGCTCCCTAAGCATACCTGGGTCATCGGTTTTTAGGACTGGTGCCTGGTGATCACTACTTCCTTTTCTGAGCTCTCATAGACCGTCCGCTTAATGGTCTCTTCGACGAGCTCACTAGAGTTTCCTCCTTCCTACAAAGTGGCATGGAATGTCTTGTCCTGGCCATTTTCTCGCATCTCATTCGTTAGGACCCCAGGACCCAAGTACCTGAGGCCCAGACACACTTAAAGGAGGGACACTTTTTTCCTCATGGTTCTTCAACATTGCTTTGTAAGTCACCTATGTTCTAGTGTTTCTAGTTTGAAGATCAGATAGTTCTCCACTGAAGGAAAAAAGAGAGGGGTAGAAAAATGGAACGCATGGATGTAGAGAGGCTTGGGAGCTTCTGGTCCCATGCCGCCCTCCCCTGTGCTACTTCTCTCATCCTCAGCCTTTTCCGAGAGCCCACTGCACCCAGAAACTGGGTCCATCACGGCTGCTCCTTTGCGCTCACATTTGCTTTTAAGCTCTGCCTGCCATTCTGTGCTCTTTTAAGGCACGCTATATAAAAATCTGGGTAGCCACC